TTTATTTGTCCTCTGAATCCAGTGTGCAGACTTTACACATGTCTGCAATATCTTTTAGTCTTGCTAAAGCTACTTCTTCTTGTCCTTTTTAATATTTGAGTATTGGAAGACTGTAGCAGTGAAGATTACTCGGTGTATAAGGACTGTGAAAAAGTTTATTTTACTTTTTTGATTTTGCTCAGGGTGTTTTAGCAAGAAGAGTAGTTTAGGTAAAATAAGAGTAACAAAGTTGTTGTCTTATCTCCACTTAGCAGTATTGAGTTGTAATAATATGATCAGTTATAGCATAGCATTTACTAAGTGAAAATAGTGTAGAGGTAGGGTGGAGCTAATGCTTTAGGGTTGTCTGTCTGCAAAGGTTTAGTCTTTTGTCCTTTTTAACATGATTTTACCAAGTTTTAAATAAATTCCACTGTGACTTATTTTGCATTACTCCCTTTAACCTAAAATGTGGTGTTATATTTTCAGACAGTCCTGAGTGGTAGACAAAACCACACAGCTAATGATGCCCAAACTTCAAATTATAAGCAATTTTCTTAGTTTAGAATGAATAACAGATAGTTTGAGTAATACTGCAAAAGTAGTAAAGATCAAAATAGAAATTCTAAACGTTCATTCATGCACTCAAGGTATTAATACAAAGCATAAAAAGTCCCTGTGCACTGCCACTTTCCTATCCATGCTTAGTGACTCCATGCTGTACCAACCCTTTCCAGTTACCAAGAGGTTTATAGTTTTATTTTACATTAAATTTAAGAAAAACAATGCTTTGCATGTATTGAACTAGTCTTAAAATTATTTTAAAATATGTTCCCAGACTTTTAGGATACCCATATATGTTTTCAGTTCAATTGTGGTTTTCCTATTTTCTTATTTTGGTTTATAAGCTTGGCAAAATCAGTTTTGGGGGTTTTTTTATATATGCTGTCAATGAGTTCTTGAAAAGAACAAGTTAAATCTGAAAACAAGCTTTGGGGGTTTTTTATTATGTTTAGTAAAAAAGTAAGCAGTATGGTGGTGTTGTTATTAAACTGAGCTGCTTGGATGAGAGCTCTGTATTTGCTTTTTATGCCATCTGAAAGATGAGTTGAAAAGGATTTCTGAAAACTTGATTTGTTTCCTTTCTAAATTCTGCTGTGTCTGCCACACACAATTCTCAAAGTTTTCTAGATTTTACACTAAATATGACAAGAATGTAAATTAATTCTCTGTTTCCATAGAAAGGTGCCTTGGGAGTAGAAAAAGCTCATGGATTTTCATTGGGAACTCTCCTGTGGTATAATTAATGTTCTTTTTTTAAACAGTAACAGAACAAGTGAAAATGCTTTAAAGTCATCCATATTTACATATTGTGTCCAGAGTGTTTCTGGTATAACTGAGAAAATAATCCAGTGTTCTCTACATATACTATACCCTCAATTCCCTCAGATGCTTTCTGACCTCTTTTACAAATGAACTTTTAAGTTTTTGCCATCTTTTATGCACTGCAAACTTCTTATATTTTAATTTTTCTGATAACTCAAAAAACATTAAATGTAGCAGGGTAACCATTTTTAGACAAATTATCCTGATGAAAGTTTCATCTGACAGTATCTGACATGTTTTCTCTTTCCAACAGTAAATATCCACAGCAGCCTTTGCCATACCTGTATTGGCCAGGCCTGTTACTTCTGTGTTTTCCAAAGATCTCCCAGAGTTTTTTTTTGGCATAGAATGTGTTAGCACACATCCAAAGCCAGTGAGTTTGCAACAGTCACATAAACCAGCTCTGTGGCATTTAAAATTCCTGAACTTTTTTTGTCCTCGGGAACAAAAAGCAAATCTAATATCTACTTCCTAATTATCACTGGAAAGTAGAGCAAATGCAAGAGCTAGGATGCTCTTGTAGTATATCAGATTCGTGCCAAAGCTGATCTGAATTATAGCATGAGTACAGAAATTTCCTAACCAAAACCTTCAGCACTGCAATGAGAAGCTGATCTGTTCTTTTCCTTGAGAGGCCCCTAGAGTACCCCTTGATGTCAGAGGCCTTCTTAACAGCTCACCACGAGACAGGGGTGCCTTTAGGAATTAAATGGATGTCCAAGAATCCCAACCAGGAGTTTGTCTTGAACAGCCAATATCTCTACAGCTCAATTTACAGTCTGCTGGAGATCCTACTAAATAGTTAGCTGGGATGTGACAGTGCTGAAGAGGAGACCATATCACAAGTGTCTGTGTAGCATTTCATGGTTTCTGTAGCTGATATCTATTCTGTGACTGACCACATGGAATTCTTGGAGCAGAGGACTTGAGTTATATTTGTCCTTAGACAGATTTTTTTTTCTTTGTGGCATTTTTAAGAAAAAACTAATAAAGTAATCTAAGATGCTTTAAAACACCTTTCCCCCTGCTCCCCTGCTCCACCCCGCAGATAAGTGCTTTCTCACCTTGGTATTTGGAGCTTGTACCTTCTTGTCCTTTTCTGTATCTTTGCAGCATGATGTAACAGCAGGAAAAATGTTAAACACACTAAAATGAAGAAGCAACTTTTCAAAAGTCACTAGGTGCAATTGTGGGTAACATTCAGGTTACTGCCCTGACTTCCTTAGAATCTGAGTGTTCTTAACAACCTAAAGTTACAGGGGCAGTTGTATAGCTTTTGTAGCTCCAGTAATTTCTTTGAGAAGTGTTACACTTGGAGAAGAAATTGTGTCTCAAATCCATAGGTTGACACACTTCCTGCTGCCTGTTGAGTGCACCGGGTTTTAGGAACTTCCTCTCACTAATTTTCTTAAATGACAAGTTTCTCTGTATTCATCTCATGTTTTAGAGGGATGAAACAGTTAGTTTCATATTTATTTGGATCTCCAACCATAATAATTGTGTACTTTATATGTCCTGATAAAAATTTGTTTGCATTGTTGAGCCAAGTAACTAAAGTACAATTGAGCAGCTGCACCCATCACCCCTTAAAAATTTGTTTCTTTAAAATTAATTTACAAAGTGTATGCTGTATTAATGTGTTCCTTTATTCATGTGCCTTTCCTACATCATGCTGTAACCTTTATAATAGTTCCCTCATGCCAGTGCTTCTGGACAGCAGTGTAATACTTAATGTACCAACACTTCAAAAGGTCTCTCCTTTGTTCATTTAAATAAGCAAAGCACTTCCCTGTGAAACACAGTAAGGTCATTAGGAAAATTTTTACCTTGTTTCAAAAAATGTTTTCTTTTATCCTCTCAAACATAAGCACTGTCATATCTTACCCTTTCCTTATCTATCAAGCCATTGTGCTTCTCCACATTTTAAAGTGGAGAAACAACCAGTAAGCAGTTATGCAGAATTTCAACTAGAACCATACTATCTGCTTACAAGGTGCAAAACTTCTTCAGGGTCTACTGTAGATGTTTAGATAACATTCCTTTTGACCTGCCAGGTGATGCATCATAGAGAAGAAAAGCCTTTAATTAATGACTTTCAAGTCCATCTGAGAATGCAGGAACAAAAAGTGGCATGGAAAGTCTTGTAATAGCCCCAAAACTTTCTCTGCTCTAAAGCCATTGGTGACATTCTATTTTAATTTTTAAGTTTTACATGGTGCATGTAACTGGGTGAGCAAAGACCTTGAAACTCATTTACTGATCACAGCAGTGTCATGTGCTGCCTGACAAGCATTGGACACAGTGGTGACCCACACTCAGGAGAATGGAACCATTTCCTCCCCAGATGTTCTGCAGCCACTGTGCTGGGTCAGAGGTGCTGGGACAGTGCTAGAATGCAAAACCTAGAAACAGTGCTCTGAGAAGTGCTGCTGTAAATACACTACAAGGAATGGGAAAATTCAGAAATGCTTGTTCAGCTTCTCAGTCCTATGCTGAAGAATGATCTCTTCTCAAGGCTGCTGGAATGCAGTGTCCTGTTAATAACATAAAGTATTCAAAGTTATGGTTTCCCCCATGCTGCAATTTGCAAAGCTTGTTTGAACCAGGTATTTTTCAATAGGGTACTGGTGAACAGTAGAAGTCTGAATCAAGAGCCTCCAGATTCCCATAGGTGGATGCCTTTTGCTGAGTCTGCTGGCTGGATATTGAGAAAATCTACTTAGGGCAGACACTCAGTGCTGTGTACTATTAGTGAGAGAGGAAAACAGTTCTCTGTAGAGAATGTTATCCCTCAGGAAAGACCTGTAAGTGGCAGTAGGCAAGGAATGCAGTTGTCATGTTCCAAGTTTGTTGTTACAATTTCTATAAATCAGTGAAGTAGTTGGTGTATGATAGAGTGCCATCTGAACACTTGAGTTTTACTGAGTGTTTTCACTGCTTCTTGTTTTGAGAAGCAATTGCATTTGGATTTCAGAAGTAAGCAAGAATCTCTGCTTCTTGTAAAACTAGAGATACCACAAGCAATTGCTGCTTCCAATGAAGTCTTACAGAAAACTGAGTCGTGGAGAGCCAGTACCTGTAGCTGATTTACTGCTCCATGAGCAGCAGCAGCACTTCCTGACTCCCACCAAGTTCATACTCTGTCAACAGGACAGAGTAACTGCTTCATATATGACACAAGTTTCCTTTTTTCCCCATTGATGCAGTACCTCCTGTTAGCAGGAGTTCAACAAAAGTGTGTGTCTGTGTGTCACAAGCAATGCAGAGGTTCCCAGGGAGTTCGAAACCTGGGAATTTGTCTTCTCCCCACATCAAACATTGTAATTCTAGTAATTTCCATTAATTCAAGTACAACAGTAGCATAAAACTACCTAGAAAACATACAGGCAGGACTGTTCCAACAGATCCATTTGGATTATGAAACTTTCCTCTCTTGGAAGAGAACAGTAATTCAAAGTTGAGGAACTTCTAAAATTACACAGAAAAAATTCTCCCATTAGCATGTCAGTATTCTAAAGGGAATTTACACCAATAACTCTTCAGTTGCAAGGTTTCAGGCTGACCAGAAATAAATCTTCATGGGATTAATTTCCTCTTCTTGCTATTTTTCTAAATGTGCCTTTTTTTCACTTTAGCAGGGGCCTCAATGAGTTCAAGACATATATTTGAAAGGTGGGGAACTAGTGGAAGAGTTGCAACTTTTTGCAGATACACACCTTACCATATCTAGAAAGTAATAAAGGGTATGTATGGTTTCACTTTTTTTTTTTTTTAAACTTCCTCCTGTGTTAGGAAGTATTGATCATTTTCTGCAGCCTAGAAAAATTCATTGCTAAAGCACCTGGCATATATCTAAGGTGAAGAGAAAGCATTAAATCAATTAAATTTCAGTGATTTCTAGTTTGGATAAAGAATTGTGACAAATAAAAATGGAAAAGCATTAGTAATGTACAAAACTTGTAACTAACTTAAGTGGCATTTGTTACATCAATTAGCATCACCTTTTTTTTTTGAAGGGAAGGAGTGCTAGTTCTGTAACTTGCAACCATTGAATAAAGGAAAGGAAAGAGTATTTCACAATATCAAAGCATGCTTTCTGGGGGGTAAAAATTATTTCTTGATGTCTACGCATGCAAAACTAAATTCCTTTCTTCTTTGTGGGGAAGCTCTCAATAGTTATTTCAAATTTTCAGGAGTAATTGGTAAGTATTAAAAATCATAAAGTTAACTGGGTTATTCCACAGTTTAAAAATATTCTTTGCATTGCAATGTTTGGAAAATTGCAATTCAGTTTTGCTCATGTTAATATATGACATTCAACAGTACCTTCTTCTTTCCTGACAGGTGTTACTGACAGACTGTTACAGTTACATTTGTTACTATTTAGGCAATTGCTTGATCATTAATAATTATTTCTAATGGACTTTTTCAATTTTATGAACTTCTATTGAAAATAATATAGAACGTGAAAAATTTTACCAAAACTAAGAATCCACTGACACCAAAAATAAATTTTAATTGCACTTACTTCAGTGAATTTATAATGCATTTATGTATGCTCAAGGTTCACTCAAGTTATCAGATGCTACTATAAGTGAAGTTTAAGGGTAACTTTTCAATGGCTGTGCCAGGTTATGTAGATAAAAGCAGTAGAAGTAAGTAGATTCCTAAACTCCTAAGAATGTTTTTTGGGAGTATTGTGATCATTTTAGCAGTGAGGAGCAGAGTATGTTATGTGAAGGGACTATTTTAGTTCAGAATGCTGAAAAAGTGAGAAAATTATTTCCTTCATTCCAGAACGTAACTATTTCTGCAAAGAAAGACAAGGAAAACCTCTTTAAAGTAGAATAGAAAGCCATTTAAAATTTAGGAATTGTAAGTGGCATTGGAGCAAGTAGAAATCACACCATTGAAATGCAGTTTGTTTACTCTTGTTTCTTCTTTATAGAAACTTCATCCACACTTCTCCAAAATGCAGCGGAGTCTGTTCCACTCTGCATCTCAGCTGGCACATGGGACGTGTTGGTTCTTCCCTCGCACCGGTGTCTTTCAGTGCTTAAAAGGACAGTCTCTGCTGCCCAATGTGGGATGCAAAGTGATTCTGGCACTGGACCCTCCTAAACGATGTCTTCATGCAGGTGCAGCTCACTTTGCCTCAAAGAAAACTGCTTTTTCATCACAGCCAGCAAACACTTCTCACAAAGTACCAGAAGAGAGAAATCCTTTGCCTTCGGCCACTGATGTGCCCAAGCAGAGCCCTGCAGAGTCAGATACTTCAGAACCTGATCCATTACAAGATAAATCAATTAGTCTGGTTCAGAGGTTCAAGAAAACTTTTAAGCAGTATGGGAAAGTCATGGTTCCAGTGCACCTTGTGACTTCCAGTGTATGGTTTGGATCCTTTTACTATGCAGCCATGAAGTAAGTTGGTATTTTGTTGCAGTGCCCAATACCATGGTTGAATTGAGATCTAGTGAATGGACATATAAATTATTATTGCCTGTTAAAAAGTGCCTTTATACTTAGAAATGTAGCTACATTTTTGACTAAAGCATAAGGTTAATGTTGAAAGTATATAGGATTCATGAGAGTGTCATGTAGATACTATTACCATGCAGTTATTGCTGTGTACCAGGTATGGTGCTGACATTTACAGGAATGCTCATCTCTCCAAAATGATGAATGGATGTAAACAGCATTGAAATTATTAGTAATCTCTCAAAAGGTAAAGATAGGGATTTGGAATCCTGATTATGAATGGCTAGTTGAGATCTTTATAGACCTTTTTTTTTGCCCTTGGACTTCATCCCCAGTCCTTCCTCATAACTGGATTTTCATTTCATGGATTTACCTCCCTTAGCTGTTCACAATGTGTATCCCCTCCTTTTTTGTTTCTGTTTCTTGTCTTTCCTGCCATCCACTGAAAAAATTGCTGCTGCAGACCATACTTTTTAATTGGAAATTAAATATTTGTGTGGTTAAAAAAAAAAAAAGATATAAACTAAGTATTCTAATTTTAGGCTTTTTTTAGTTACAGCATATGCTAGATGCAATTCTGGAAAATGGCATTTATCAGAAAAAACTACTACATCAATTATGAGCTGCTAGTTTGCTAGTTCAGATGAAAGAGGTTTTATTTATCTGGAAATAGTTTGCTAAATATAAGCAAATGTTTATCTCTGGACTGCTGGTGTTGTATATTTAATAATAGAAAGCATGAAACAACGGGGTTTGTGGTGGCAAGGATGGAACTCTGACATCAGAATGCCTTACTGCACAAGTGTTTGTTTTAGTTACTCTAACCAGCTGGCATAATTGCCCTTTCTGGGAGCTATAGATCCAAATGTCATTCTAAATTTAGCTCATGTCAGAGGAATAAAGGTCTTGAACTATAAAAATATTTTGCTTTGAATAAATTCAGGTTGATGCTTATGTCCAGACATTTCACACTGAGTGAAGATTACTTTTCTTGAAACTCCTAAGCCTGCTGCTAAAGGAGATTTTTGGCAGATGAAAACAACTGAAATATTCAACTAGAAACTAATTAAACTAATTATAACAAAGCTTCAGTTTGTTATATCACAGGAGCAGTGCTCTCTTGAAGTGGAAAAATAACTCTCAGAATGACTAATCATAAAGACTAAACAGCAGTGGTTTATGAAATGGCACAGTTAGAGCTGTCTTTCAGCTCCTACTAGATCTCCATTCCCTACTCTGGGAATTCCCTATTCTCTACTCAGACTGTAGGTTCTAGTAACTGTTGGTAAATTACTGCCTGTTACTGTTCTTGATGCTAAAGTGATTGCATGCTCAGAAGAATGCTTAAAATATTAGATAGAAATAGAAAATATTGGAAACTCAGGTCTTCTATAACTGTGTGTAGCTTTCTTCTATAATATAAAGATGAGCTTTCCTTTCTCTTTTGGTGTTTTCCTGGATGTCAAATAGAAAGAAATTGTGATAGGAGCTCCCTCCACCATCTTGACAGCTTATATTGACACAGTAGAAGAACTGAGCACAAAGCCCCTGAAGTCTTGTCTATGTAACATGTTGCTTCCTTTTCTTTTGCCACATTCCATGTTTGATATATTTAGAAGTGAATGGAGAACATTGTCTGAAATTTTAGTAGAAAAGAAGGTAATTTTAGGCATAACAGAGCATGAAATTGAACATGCACAGCTGGAACCTGCGTAGCTGTCTTACCACCATTACATCTTCTTACCTCAAACATAAACTGGGACACAGGTAAGTTAGAAACCATTCCATCCAACAGAGATAATATAAATGGGTCACCTTTTGAAATGCTGAAAAGAACATTAATTTTCCTATGGTCAGAAACATAAATCTTGTAAGTTTATTGCTTAGATAAAAAACCACTTTGTTTTCAAATTATGAAGTTTGTGTAATAAAGAAATAGTACTCTAAATTACTGTTCAGGTTTCAAATTCCCATTCAAGTTACCAATGTTTTTCTCTTTTATAGTGGGGTGAATGTTGTTCCATTCCTAGAGCTGATTGGCTTACCAGACAGTGTAGTAGACATCCTGAAAAATTCCCAGAGTGGAAATGCACTAACTGCATATGCATTGTATAAAGTAAGTATAATTATAGTTTGTAAATAAGCTCTTAGTCTTGCCTGGTGAACTAAACAGGGTTTGCTTGTTTACAGCAGAAAGAATTAATTAGCTTTCTTCGATACCTACGTGTACTTAAGCATTCATTTTGTGGTAAAAATAGTCCCATGCAAGTTGATATGTGTCCTGTGTTCCTTCAAGGAGTCTATCTGTATTTCTAAAATAACTTCTTTGCTGCAGAAGTATTGCAGCCTTCTGAGATGACAGTTAAGTTATTCTTCTGTATCCCTGACATAATTAGCAGGGACAAAGAGGTTAAGTCTAAACACTTCATTGAATTTCAGATAAAAGGACAGTTATTTTTATCCTAAATGATTTTTTGTCTTCCCCTTAGATGTCCATCACTCTCAAGTATTTTCATTGTCATTTGAATCAATTACTTATATTCAGGTTTGGGTTTCCTTTTATTGCTTTATATGTGCAAAGTCTGTGTTTGGGAAACTTGAAACATGTCAGACCATTCAAAAACAAGGTACAGTATTCGCTGTACATGCCACTCAATTTGTTTTGTTTCTAAAAGTGATGTCCTTCTTGCCTGTTTTCAAAGGGGTTACTTTCCCAAACAAAATGTGAAAGTACGACTCTTTCCAACTTTTCCTTTGCCTAAAAGAGACCAATAAATAAATACAGTTAAATATAAAGATGTTGTTATAGCTGGGAGACCTGGAAGTGTTGGAAGAAACTCGGTGTTCATATGCAGTCTGTTCTGAATTGCATCAAGATGCCGAATGCTTGTCTACAAGCTGCACAGGGAGGGTTTGTGTGTTGATGAGTTTATTTAAGGGTGGTCTAATGCCCTTGCTGGCTCTGACAAAATGATACTTTAAGTAAAAGGTATGCATTTCTAGGGGATGCACTGTAAACTGGCTTATTTCCTTATAAATTGAAGATACCTTTAGAATCTGACACTGGTCAAAATAGATTTTCAACATAAAAAAATACCTTTTGCTGGATGTTATTTTCCTATTTTATCTATGTGGTGTATTCTTTGGTTTCTTTAAGATTGCAACTCCTGCCAGATACACTGTGACTTTGGGAGGAACATCTGTCACTGTTAAATACCTACGTAAGCACGGCTACATGTCCACACCACCACCAGTAAAGGAATACCTACAAGACAGGATGGAAGAAACAAAGGATAAAATCACAGAGAAGATGGGGGAAACAAAGGATAAAATCACAGAGAAGATGGGGGAAACAAAGGATAAAATCACAGAGAAGATGGGGGAAACAAAGGATAAAATTACAGAGAAGATGGGGGAAACAAAGGATAAAATTACGGAGAAGATGGGGGAAACAAAGGATAAAATTACAGAGAAGATGGAGGAAACGAAGGATAAAATTACAGGGAAGATACAAGAAACCAAAGAGAAAGTTTCATTTAAAAAAATAAAGGAATAGGAGAGATGCTTAATTTTTGGATATATCAAACTTAGCACTTTAACCCTTTGTGAGGCAGGATATGCAAAGTGCACTTCTTAGCTTTTCTTTCTTTTTTTTCTTTTATATTTTTTACCCTTTGTCTGGAGACAACAATTGCTACATGGATTTAAAGGTTAAAGTTCCTTGGGGAAGAGGTTGTGACCTAAAAGTTTCAATTTTCAGAAGGAAAAGTGAATCTCAGATTAGAAGTTAACATGTCCCTTGGTAATAATGTTAAGAATTACTCTTCCCTCTTTTTTTTTTTTTTCCCATACCCTCTTCCTCAAAATGAAGACGATTTCTGCCAAGAGCCACTACTCTGTTCTTCTCCCATCATAGTGCACAGCCATGGTTCCACTAGACTGAGTCTTCCATTAAATAAGAATGAAGATTTCTCTGTTGGGAAGAGCAGCGTGTTTAGAGTTTTAGAGCATGTGGTACCAAGCCTCTTCAATCGTGATCATCTCTCAATTTGGAGCAGACCATTGTCACTGATACTGCACATGAAGGAATTGATGGATGAGCTACTCAGCAGGAATTCATTACAATGGCTTCCTTGGCTTCAGCCAGGCTGCTGTGGGTTATGGGCTGAGACTATGAATCTTTCTTGAACAGTGCATCTCTTCAGAAATCTCAACTGAAAGCTATAGGAAGATGAGTTAATCACAGTAGCCATACTGTCAAGTATACTTTGTTTCCTGAAGTTGATTTACAGTACAAAGTCATTAAAATCAATAATTGTATATTAAACACTAGGATTTGTTCATTGTGTTAAAGTTTACAAACCTGCTCTGTTTCATTTTTGAAACAAAAAAAATTTGAAAGAAAAGTTTTTTTGAGAAATTGCTATACTAAGGGGCTTTTTAAACATGTGGAAAGTTAGAGTTAAAAGAACCCCAAAGTTCCTCCTCCCTCAGTAAAACAATTTGACTAAAATAGGCATGATTTCTGAGACAGCAATCACAGTCTACCAAACTTTTTTCCCCTAGATTAAGTCAAGCAAACACTTATTCATACCTGAAGGCTGAAATGTTGTCTCAGATGTCATAAAGGACTAAAGTTGAAAGTGTTCTATTTGGCTGGGCAGGCAAACTTCTCTCAGTTTTATTCAAATGTAGGCTGAATTGAAGTCTGTTTTTCCTATTTCTGCTACAGATCTCACTTTGTAGCAACTCAGCATGTGTAAGTTGTTTAACAAAGGTGCTTTTTTTCGGGGGGATATGGGGAAGCAATAGAGTTGGACCCTGAGCATTGCAATCGACTGGAGTGAAAAAAATATAGCTGATGAAGTATCAGCTGTGCCCCATTGTCCCGTTCTCATTCAAGTCACTGAGGGCTTCTCCATGTTTATGTGAGTTGAACTTCATTAACTTAATTGTGCAGGATTCATTACATACTTCTCTGCCTCTGCCCACATGTTAAATAGTAACTGCAATCTAATGCCTACCTCACAGGGATGTTGTGAGGAATAATCATTGTATATTCAGTGACCTGAAGATGTAAAGTGCCATGTTTCTGATAAAAATTATTAAAAAAATATTTCTGTGAACTCTTACACTGCTACATACTACTGTTAAGGACTAGAGATAATAGATTCTATTTTGTTTCTCTCTTTTAGTCTGCTTTTCCTTACTGTCCCCCTGCACACAGTCTTCTGATGTTGGCATTTCTTCTGATTTCCCACTTTTGGGGGCAGTGTTACCTATGTCCTGCAGGACCCTGCAAGGCCCAAAGTGTGCCCCGGTAACATTGCATGGTCACTCTCAGTCTGGGGCCACACATGGGACCCTTTCAGTGCAACTTACACACATCAGGGATTGCACAGGGGCACCTTGGTGTCCTAGGATGAGTTTTTAGCCCTGAGACGTGGTAGAACTTGTTCATTACAGCACCTCTTCTTGCTCTTCCCCTTGCCCAGCCGGCCTGTGACCACTCCAGTGTTTATTGATCCGTCTCTATTCACGCTAAGTACAAAAGCTGGTTGACTTGGAGTTGACTGTCCTGTGTGATCATTTCTGTGGCTGCAGGAACAGCTCGCAGGGACTCTTGCCAAGTGCCTCCTCTTTGTAGGTGGTTAATTTTGCAGTATGGAGAAGCTTGAGGAGTTTCTGGGACAACCACTTCCTCCACCCAGCATGTCAGTTGACAAAGCACAGAGTTACATGGATCCATTTATACAAAGCCAGAGGAGAAATCTTCAAGACTTTGGAAGTCTGACCTGGAGAGCTTTTGTGAGAATTAGTCACATGCTTGATGTGACTAATTGGCCTTCTATGGAACCTCTGCCTTGTTAGTGCAGAGAGCACCTGGGGAGTTTCCTGGGCCGCCCAGGGAATGAATGTACGGCCACTTGGTGCTCCAGCCATGCTGCAGTTTTAACTAGGCTGAAGTTGACTTCTGTCCTGTATCTCACTTACAAATTATTGCCATGATACTAAGGTGCAGTTCTTGTTAGTGAGAGTCGGCCTTAGCGTGAGTCTGCATGGCTGGCAGCCAGGGGCCACTACCCTTGGAAGAGGCAGTGTGCCTGCACTCTGCTGGCAGGCTGGGGCAGGCAAGGGGCACCTGGGGACAGCGTCTCCTTCTGGTGCCCAGGCCAGCACAGTTGGCACACTCATGGTGGCAACTTAAGGTGGAACACCATCAGTGAGTGCCTTCAGCAGCAGAGAAGGACAGGGGAGCAGGTGCCATGGCCTGGGAAAGCAGTTTGGGCACAGCACCAAGAGGCCCTGAGGCAGCCCACAAGTGACCCAAGCAAGGGAGTGCCCAGTGAGTGCCAGGAGTCCTTGGTGAGGTGAAGAGCCCAGAGAGAAGCCCAGCAGCACCTTCTATTGCCCACAGGACCATTCAGTCAGTGCTACCAGGGCTTGTGTTTTTACCTCTCACTGTTCAGCATCCTCGTGGGTCAGGGCTGTCCCTTCAGGCTCTTGAGGGTGGGTGGGGGTGTGGGTCCCTCCACCTCTGCAAAGCTTCCGAAATCTGGTGAAACTAAGACTGAGACATCCATCACTATCTACAGCAGGGAAATGGCTGCTTTGGCCACCTCTCCCACTGCTGTCTGCTCCCTGCCTCATGTGTAACTCCACTGCACAGCATCACCAAGGGGCTGGACCTGAAACTGGGACAGTGCTCAACTGTAAGCCTGAGCAGGCTGGGCCTGCAACTGGGCATCCCAAGATGAGTCCAGAGTACATGCTGTGATCAAAGCAGGGAATCTGTGCCAAAATTGGGGCCCCAGGATGGAACTGGAGTAGATGTTAAGGTCCAAGCAGGGGGCAGATCTGAAATCACAATCCAAGATGTGACTGGAGCTGAAGCTGCAAACCAGTGCAGAGCCAGAGCCAACATCACAACTCCCTGCTTGGCTCGGGCCTTAGTTGCTGCTCAAGATAGGGAAGAGACAAAATCAAAGCCCAAGCACTGTCCAGAGCCAAAATTGCAGCTAAAGGTGGGCCCAGAGTCAAGATAACATCCCTACTGGAACAGTATCAGGACAGAACAGCAATCACCACCTGAGGCAGTGCCAGAGCCAAAAAGTTCAACCCAAGATGGGCTGAACCAAAGCCATGGCCAGAGGTAGGGACCAGAGCCTCACTGCTGCCAGACTGCTGTGGTACTCACTGTCTGAGCATGGACCAAAGCCAAATTTGAGTTGGAGGCAAGTAGTGGTCCAAGACAGGGCAGGAACTGAAGATGATGAAGTTTTAGCTCTCATATTTTTCAGATTCTGTACTGCATTAGTATATAACTCTGAACTTCATATAAAGTGTTAGCAAGTTCTCTTCATAGCTGAAACAAAACAATCCTTTTCCAGCCTGTGAACCAAGGTCACCAGGCTCTTGTACTGCCCAAGGTGTAACCTTTGAAGGCCTTTTTTAATAAATACCTACTTTATTTCTCTTACTCTGTCTAGCTTCTGTTCTAGGTAACCTCTCCAGGCATCCAAGTCACAGCCAAATATTGGGCCAGAGCTGAAATCGTGCCCAGAAATGCCACTGAGATGAAGCCACAGACCAACATGGGGCTACAGCCACAGCCACAACCTGCTATCCAGCCCTAGCCACAGTCACAGACCAAACAGGTACTGAAGCTGAAGTAGCAACCTGGTATTAGGCCAGACCTGTCTCAGAGGCCCAAGATGTGTCTGGAACTGAAATCATGGCCTAAAATTGCAATGGAGCTAAAATCACATCTAGAGATGGGGCCAGAGCTCAAGCCATGGCCCAAGATTTCTCCTAGAGGCAGAGTAACAGCCCAAGATATGACAAGGAACAAATTAGCAACCCAAATAGGGGCCAGAGCCACAGACATGCTCTGAGATTGAGCAAGAGCCAAAGATGCAGCAAAAATGGCACCACCACTGATGTTACAGCTCAGATGAGGTTGGAGCTAAAATCACAGTCTGATATAGGGCTGGAGCCAAACTTATGCCTTGAAATGAGGCCAGAGCCAAAGTCACAGTTCAATATGGGACTGGAGCAGAAGCCATAATCCTCACCGGGGCTGGAGCAGGGGCCAGAGCTGAAGCTCTGATCCAAAAACTGAGCCAAACTCATGGCCTCACAGTGGACATGGCTTGAAAATAGCCACCAGTCATTGAACAGGGAACAGGGCTGAAATCGCTGCCCAAGAAGCAAAAGTTGCAGCCTGAAATGAGCTAAAGCAGAAGTCATGAACCAAGCAGGGACCAAAGGCAAAGTTGCAACTGAGTATCAAAGCAGAGCCAAAGATGTGGATGGCCATGTGGCCAGAGTCTAGGCCACAGCTTGACACAGCAGTGAAGCTGAAGTAGGAGCCCAAATAAGAGCTGTAATAGCCTCCCAATGGGGGCCAGAGCCAAAGCTGTCATCTACCATCAAGCAGTTGGCAGAGCATCTGGCCAATATCAGGCCAGAGGTTAAGTCACAGCTCAATACCAATCCAGAGCCACAACTGCAATCAGAGCCAAAGCAGGAACAAAAGCAGGAGCCCAAGGTGCAAATTAAGCCAAATTTGTGGCGCAAGCCATAACTTAAGCCAAAGTTGCAGATGAAGATGTTTCTGGAGACAAAGTCACAAGCCAAGAGGGGCCAGACCCAAAGCCATTGCCCAAACAGTGGCCAAGTCACAGCAACCTCATCAGGAGGGGTCAGACCCAAAGCAGTCACCTGAACAATGGCCAGAGCCAAAGTTACGGCCAAAGATGGGGCTGACACAAAAATCTCAACCCAGTGTTGAGCCAGAGCTGCAGTAGCAGCCTGAGGTAGCCAGAGCTCAAACTGCTGCCATAGATGGGAGCAGATAG